TACGTCCTTAAACCGACACATAATGACAATGCAAAATGTTCTATCAATGTTCTGGTCATGAATGGGTTAATATCGAATGGGCTACATGCCTCTAAGTATTTAGCCAGTTTTGCCAAACTCCTGTGACAATGATACCAAAGTGCACTGTGCTTAAATAAATAAATAAATATACATTAATTTATTAATTCAATGTGCATCCAATAAAAGTGACTAAAGTGATATCAATAAGGTAATCTAGCAAATATTCAGTAGTAATGATACCAATAAAGTGCTTCAACAATTGCCTAAAATGTCCAATAGAGTGCTCTGGTCCACAAACTGTTCATATCCTCAGTACAGTGCTTCACCGTCCAAACAAAAGTGCTTCGAGTGACTTTCATGCCAAATCCAAAGACTTCACGCCACACTCACCAGAACTGATGGACCATATGTTATAAATGGTCAATTAGATTAGGGAGTAGCACAAGGACTTTTTTGGTATTCCTGTGACAATGCCTGCTCTTTTTTCATACATGAATAATCCTGATTTATGCTTATAGCCCAATAAATCTATAAATTGTTCAAATTTAGAACCTCTCTAAGGCTCTCATTTGAATTCTTAATAACTAGTATATTATCACCATCCCCCCAAAATAAGCCATTTATAGTGTCACTGGTAAAGGATTTTAGTGCAACATTTTTGAAATGGTGCATAGGACACGTGCCTTGACACGTGCCTTTTCCATATAGGCCATATAGGCTAACATAAAATACTATTTACTCCAAATACCGTGCAGAAGACAAGGATTGCATATGGAGCAAAGGAGATCCTACAATCAGTATAGTAATGAGTTCTTTATTGGTGCAATGGTTCAACTCTGGAATTGTCTATCATATAAGATAGGAATGGCAAAATCAACACAAGTTTAAAAAAGTTTGGATGGTTTTCTTAAAACTGAGAATAAACAATAAACAAGTTAGCATTTCTAAGGGTAGTAGGGCATTTTTGGATCCAGTAAACTAATATGACTGTCTAGTAAGGTCATATATCATTTTTAACTATATGATGGGCTAAACTGGCCATAATTACACAGGCTTTTGTTTTGAGTTCTGGATCAAATTAGGTGGACATTCATTTTTTTTCAACCTAAATTACGATTTTATTACATAACCTATAGTAACAATTTTCAGAGTATTTGTTAAATATATCTGCCTGTGTATGGCTATCCTTAGTGTTGCCAGTGAAGTATGAAAAGTTACATTGGAGCCAAGAGTGATAATATTTATTTTCTAAAACTAGCTTCAGCAGTAGCTGCCTTGAATTCCCAAATGAAACTGGTGTAATGCAATGGTTTATTTATATACAAATGTATTTTATCTTGAAAGGTTTTGTAAGTTTGCAATGCAACTGCATTTCACACATACATCTTGAAGCTCTTTACATTTTTTTTTTATTTCAAGCGGATTTTTTCTTTTCTTTACAGATTTATAAAACATGAAAGTATAGTTTAGAATCAGTGTCATCCTAGTGAAAGTTACAGCATGGCATGTCAACATGAGCACCTAAAGGTATAATTTGCCTTACAGTACATTCTTTCTCTAGTGCTCATTATGCTTGCAGTGAGCCATGGCATGTTAGGAACTCATCAAAGCTTGCTTCTAGCTATGTCATGTGAAAATGAGCATGGGGTGTAGGTTTAGTCAGCATTGACGCAGCAACCTTTGCTCTTCACTATCCCAAAGGAGGTCCCTCTTGCCTGAAAGGTTCCTACAGCAAGACTAGATGTGAGGCTATTTCTGATGAGCAAAAGCTACTGTTATCAGTCAACAGTCATCTCTACGAGACCTTTGGACACCCATACATATGAAGATTAGGCCATTCAGTCTCAATATGCTTCAGGCATGGCTTGTCTGTTCATAAACAAAATGAGCCATCCTAGGATATGGAATAATGTGATGGATCCAGATATTCACTCACTGTACAACAATCAGATCAGTCATATTTTTATTAACTGATTTGGCTGTTCACAATTTACATCTCAGTGGTAAATTCCCTCAGTGAACTCTCATTGTACAGGTGTCCAATTACTAAGGGTTCACTATAACTCAAACACCTCATTCGAACAGTTTAGGTAGCACAATTTTCTCTCTGACCAAAATAGTTTGGTTTCTATAACCTTTTGATATTCAAATGATTTAAGAAAAATACAGAAATTGCCAGCAATTTGTTAGGTTTAACTTCTGTGTTTAATTTAATTTCTATGAAGGCAGAATTCAATCAGTTCAAAGCTGGTTTTCATTAATAGCATGATAGATACCCTTTCAGACAATTAACATAAACTTTGATTAGTTTTAATCAAATCAATTAGCTAACATTATATATTTTCAGAAATTGTTCTTTTATGCAGCTTTTCACTTTCACTGGGGAAGCAGAAAATTCCTAATACTGCCCAATGATAGGGGCTCCCCTAATATGGAAGCCGTGTTCTGTTAATAACCCTGCTTCCCTTAACCTGCTAAGTCGGTTGCTTGTGAATAGTTCTAAACTTTTACAAGAGAAATGGTTCTGTTTGCTTTCCATTGAGTTGAAGAATGTTCTTTGTATGTATTTTGGGTAGCATACCCAATTAGCATATTACCAACCTAGCAATGTACAGAATTAAGAATACAACAACAAAAATAGAGAAATGGGGCTTTGAAAGTATCCTCAAATGCAAGGAGACCCGGTTCAAAATTACATACAAGTCTTTTATTGTATAAAAATATATATATTCTTTATTAAAATAAAGATGACAGATTAGTGATATCATTAGATGGTACAAAACCTCCCACATCTCCCCTCTCTCTTTCTGCTCTATTCCCGCCGCACCAAACAGCGCCGTTTGCCGCTAACGGCGTGCGTCATGTGCAGCTGGCGTGGTTTGGTGCGGCGGTAATAGAGCAGGGAGAGAGAGGGGAGATGTGGGCTGCTCGGATTGGGGGGCTGCCTTTTGCTGGATGAGGAGTGATACTACATTGAGCAGAACGCATCCAGTAACTGTTTGAAGGACACATCATGGACAGGCGTACCTTCTTCCCCATTCGTTGGCCCGCATGGTCCCCTACTTCCCTTACCTCCCGAGTTGCTTTGGGTTGGCTCTCCGGCAGTAGGGACGCATGTCAGTAGGACAGAGATTCCATTAATGGCACCTCCATATTTTCCTGATGAAGCCTTGAGCGAAACATGTCGAAAACTGGACACATTATAGATCTACTCAACATTATGGATTAATTTATTTATGCAATTATATAAAAGAGATATTTAAGGAGATAAATGTTAATAATGTATTGTTATATACACAGTATGTATCTATATGTGATCCAGGGAGGTTTTGTACCATCTAATGATATCACTAATCTGTCATCTTTATTTTAATAAAGAATATATATATTTTTATACAATAAACGACTTGTATGTAATTTTGAACCTGGTCTCCTTGCATTTGAGGATACTTTCAAAGCCCCATTTCTCTATTTTTGTTGTTGTATTCTGTATACGTAGGGGTGTGGTGTCCTAGTTCATGTGGTGGTTCGCAATTTTGTGTACAATGTATAGAATTAAAAGAGAACGCCAACTAACCAGCTAAGATCAATTTAATTAACATAATTCCAAAGACTAGTC